CGAGTTCTTCGAGTTAATAGATTTGCCAAGATGATGCTGATATTTTGCGCATGTCGCTGCCATTCTGCTTGACTTCGTGTGAAATCGAAGACCCTCATAGATACCAACACGCGCTATTCAGCTAATGTGTTACTTTACTATTCTTTTGTTTTTGACGTAGGAGTCGACAATGCCGAGTTGTCACCAACGAGCAAGTCCCGCAATGGCTCTGGTGACAAGGTTGCCCAGTCTGGCAAAAAGTCGCTCTCTGTTGATGGAATCCCCGCCGAGGACTTGGCCTCCTTCGCTTGTCTGTACGCCCTCAGTGCTAGCAATATGCTGGAAGCGGTTGTAAACCTTGATTTCTCTGCCATCGCCAATGTCTGGAAGGTGTTTTGGCGGACCGAGGAGTCCAAGGTACAGTACACATACACGTGCAGAATATGCGCTGGAGCTCCTGAAACATCCTGGTTAAAATCTTTTAAAGCCCTCTAGCACAGAGACAACGACGATGACTCGATGGAGGGTTACAGTACGGAGGGGCACGGTTTTTAATCCCGAATTACTTCATTGAAGATGGTCTACTTACTTTTGCTCGAATAATGCGCATATATAAGTGTAGAATTTCGCTGACTGACCAGGTTAAGGGACACGCTCGTCCTGTCATGTTTTGCGCTTGGTCTAGAACACAGAGAATGATACTGTGGGAGGAAAGAGATTGTCGAAAAAGACAATTTCTGGCTTATTAACCGTTGTTACCCAGCCTTTCTCAACTCCATGTTTGGGGACAGCTGATATTCAAGGTCGGGTTCTTCTGGTTTGGGGACATGCGATTCTAACTTGTGCTCTTCCGGTTTGGGGATGTATGTGATTCCAACTCGGGTTCTTCTGGTTTGAAGACGTACGTGATTCGAGTTCGGGTTCTTCTGGTTTGGGAACATATGTGCTTCCAACTCCGGTTCTTCTTGGTTATAGAGCTTCAGTAAGTCCACCTGACTAAACATTGAGTCGTGGGCTCCTTGTCCTGACGGTTATGATCGGGAATCTACTCAGGCTAAATGGTGATGACGTTAGGCGCATTTACTAACCTGCCATGACACCCTTTGTACCCTACACGTGTTATTCTTCCATGCCGCATGATCAGCCTCCACCAAAAAAGCACACTACCCACATAAGGGAGCTGTGCCCGTTCTCACATGCGATGGTGTTGAATTGTGTCGGAGAGTAGTTGTGTGATCGAGGCGTCATTCTTTCTTGACATGTTGATGCATGTGGGCGAATAGGCCGATGCATACTTTGACTGTATTTCAGTATTTATATAGGGTTAGGCAGAGTAAGAATTTCTCGATGACAATTTTTTTACTAGACACTTTCATTTCACCGAAAAGATCCCTCTGGTGTCGTCATGCCCCAAGACAGTCTTGGTGTGTTTAATTAGTCTTGCTTGCGATAGCCCCACGTGTGATCAACCAGACCTTTGCGTGACTGCCGTGGTGGTCACAATATGTGTAGGTTTCTACTGTTTCTACACTGCAGATCGTAGTGTGGCTAATGTATATCTTTCGTGTGCTGGCTCCGTTTCAGTTGCGTCTAATGCAAAAGTATCTGACGAGAACAAATCAGGATTAAAACAAGGATTACAGTGAAGGCAGGTAGGGGG